TATATATATATATATATATATATATATATATATATATATATATATATATATATATATATATATATATATATATATATATATATATATATATATATATATATATATATATATATATATATATATATATATATATATATATATATATATATATATATATATATATTAGGGGTGTCAAATGTAATTGTTTCATCGTTGCACCGTGATGCAGTCGGTTCAGTAATAATCATTGATTCATTTTCTTGTCGGCTTAGTCCCTTTATTAATCTGGGGTCGCCACAGCGGAATGAACCACCAACTTATCCAGCAAGTTTTTACGCAGCGGATTCCCTTCCAGCCGCAACCCATCTCTGGGAAACATCCACACATACACACTCGAACACTACGGACAATTTAGCCTACCCAATTCACCTGTACTGCATGTCTTTGGACTGTGGGGGAAACCGGAGCACCCGGAGGAAACCCACGCGAACGCAGGGAGAACATGCAAACTCCACACAGACGGCCAACTGAGCCGAGGATCGAAAAAGCGACCCAGGGACATTCTTGCTGTGAGGTGAACGTGCTGCCCACTGCATCGCCTCAGTAATAATCATAACCGGTTACTATGTACTGACGTCATTTATCTCATATGCACTATGTTGCCGTAGCTTACTATGGTGAGGGAGGCAAGCGTGAGTTTTTATAACGCTCCAACTACTTAAAAACACAGAAACAGTGCACAGATTGTGTGTTTGCTGGACAGTCTTTCACAGACACTTATAGCTGAAGCCTCTATTTCACTGCGATTGAGAGAATGAAAGTACTCCTTATCTATCTTTTACTGTGGCCCATTTGACCTGCTGGCACGACTTTTCCTCTCCTCTTGGCTGTTACAGCGATACTTCTGGATACAGACACAAGCGCGTGTCTGCAGAGTTTTCTCCACCGCGTCTATCATGGATCAGCTGTGATCGCCGCTGCCGTTTATCAGTGTCACTCATCTGTGAAGAGCGTCAGCGCGTAAGAGCCAATCACAGCACTTTCTGTTGAGTGCGTGACCAATCAAAGGGGTGTAAGAGAACTTGGTAAACAAGGATGAGAAAGCGAGCGGGATATTTAGATTTCTTTATATTATTTGCTATAAATGCTCGTGTTGTTTAAAGGTACAGTTTATATATCTACTGTATTATAGGACAGAATTGTATCACAAATAATATATAAATATAAATATATTTGTACATTTTAATACAAGAATTGCTGCTGTGAAGAAAATATAAAACTGTGTATGGAAAGCATCATCAATGCACCGAGATATCAAATTGAACCCAATCGATGACATGATAATCATAACCAAACCGAACCATGTGACCAGTCTAAGTTCACAGCTCTACGCTTTTCACACCGCTTAGCTCACGTGCTCTGCCTGCTACAGTATATCAATTCAGTATGCTCACTATGTTACATAACTGCCCCCTGCTGGCCATGCATTTCTTATGACAGATCATGTTCTGCTTTACTGCGGTTTACTGCGGAGACGTGCAACATTTCTTTAAACCACTCACGCATTCTCAGTAGCCATATCTGTATATAAACCTTTACGAGTGCTAATAAAAATCTGACACCAATCCTAATATGATCAAAAAAAATAAATAATGCCTTGAGTTTAAAATAAAATCTTACATTTCTGTATTTATTTATTTATTTATTTATTTATAAAGATATTCTCACAGTCACAAACCGCAGTATTTTGCTATAAAAGTGAAGATCTAATGATGTTGTCTGTTGACTGGAAACACTGATGATGCCTCCAGTGAAAGGATAAAGTGTTTCTGCAGCAGCTTTAATGAAGCGTCCATTGAGCAGAATGAGTCATAAGTTTACTCAGAATGGAAATAGAGATAATGTTTGAGGACAGCGTGCAACGTAATGTGACAAATTATAGTATTTAGTCACGCTTCTCAAACACCTGACAGGAAAACAGCTCATTATCCTAATGGAAAAGCTGCAATATTTATTAAAAAAACTGCTTATGTCATAACTCTCCACGAGTGATGATGCACAAACATTTTCTGGATTAAAAGTCTTACTGTTTATCATATGACACATAATGTGACGGATATTCTAAAGTGACTTATATAAAGCAATAACAGGTAAAACATGCTCAAAAGTCTTATATATTTGTGTTGAATGAGAGTCATGTAAGTTTTTGTTAAGAGCATTAAAGTCCTGACATTTATCCACATTTTATCAAATATGATGACTGCATTTTAAATTATGGGTTGCACTTCCAGTTTTGGGAACTTCCATTAATAAGAACTGAAACAAATCACTTTAAATAATGAAACTACACTATAAATAATCCATTTACATATGAAATCAGAGGGAGAGGTGTTTTACTTTTTATCTGTCATAATAGTAATGTTATGCTTGGTATTTTAATATGATATTAGCATCGAAAGCATATGATATTTATGGCTCTTTTGATTTCCGTCTGATTATTTCGTATATTAGTAATTTCAGTTGGATTATTTATTATATTAGTATAGCAGGCATATGATATTTATGTTTTTTGATTTCTGTTGGATTTTATTTCATTCATATTTCATATATGTGTGTGTGTGTGTGTGTGTGTGTGTGTATATATATATATATATATATATATATATATATATATATATATATATATATATATATATATATATATATACACACACACACACAACAGTTCTGTCTGGTTCTCAAATCTAATTGGCTGATAATAGCACTCGTACAGCCTCTTCACTCTTGTGTATTATTCTGCCCATACAGAGTGACAGCAGATCAGTAAACTCACTACAGTTTGAAAAGTATTGCAGCTGGTGGACAACATGATGTACTTTTGAGGCTTTTTTATGCGAGAATAGTTGTTTAGATTGCAACTATGCAGTTTTTTATAAGGATAGTGCCCATTTTAAACATTTATAATTATGGAGATTCAGTGCGTCGGCATCCATCAGCCTGTCATTGAGCAGAGCAAAGATGGTTGATGTTGTGCATCTACAAGATAGCGACAGAGATTGCATAATAAGCCCTTACAACAGAAAAACTCAGCATAATTTCAAACTACACTTTAGACATTACGCTAGAGAAGCATTCAAGTACTAGCTCTAAAGTGACGTTGGTGAATTAGTAACAGTGTTAGCTGCAGATGTAGATGAATGGCGGAAGAAAGTAGTTCCTCATACAAAAGGATTTTTAGACTCTCCATGTTTGATTATATACATATTTACATATATATATATATATATGTATATATATATATATATATATATATATATATATATATATATATATATATATATATATATGTGTGTGTGTGTGTGTGTGTGTGTGTGTGTTTGTATTCAAGTCAGAAGTATGAGCCCCCCTAAATTTTTTTTTTTTTACACAACAAACAAACAGAACCTGTCGCACACATACATTTAGGTTCTAGAAAAAAATATAAATAATATTAAGATAAAATACAAATAAATAGTAATATTAAGTAAAACATATGTTACTCTCATATACTGTATAAGGGGAAAAAAAAGAAAATACACAAAATAGGAAAAAAAAAAAAAACGAGGAAAGGTTTTACTCTTCTAAAATGACTGAGGAGTCCATCTTTTTTTATGTGATCTAAAACAGGTTGCCAGATGAGAAAAAATACGTCAGTACGGCCTCCTAGAGTGTATTGTATTTTTTTAAGGTCAGGTGGTGTAGAAGTTCCATAAGCCACTGCTTAAAGGTTGGTGGAAGTTTTTCCTTCCATTTCAGCAATATTAATCTTCTAGCTAAAAGCGAAGCAAAGGCAATCACATTTATCTTGCTTTTGTTAAAACATAAGGACTGTGGTGTGATCCCAAAAATTAAAATTATGGCCTCAGGTTCTATATAGGTATTTAATGCGTCTGAGAGGAATTTAAATATTAGCTGCCAGAATTTCTTTAATTTTGAACAAGCCCAAAACATATGAGATAAAGTAGCTGGCTCAATGTTACACCGGTCACAATTAGGCTCTATATTCGGTTTAAATTTGGCTAGTTTAACTTTGGACCAATGTAATCTATGTACTACTTTAAATTGTATAACTCTATGTTTTAAACAAACTGAAGATGAGTGTATATTGTCTAAAACGGATTGCCACATATCTTCTGATAGTTCTATCTCTAGCTCCACCTCCCATTTTCTTTTTAATTTTACTAGAGGTTCCAGATTGTGGGAAATAATTATAGAATATATTTTGCCAATAAGTCCCTTTGAGTATGGGCTTAGCTCCATGATAGAGTCAAGCAGGGAGGGGGGAGGCAGTGATGGATAGTGACTCATTGAGGAGGACACAAAACTTTGCAGCTGGAGGTATCTAAAGAAGTGAGCATTTGGAATTTGGATCTTTTACTTGTTGGAATGAAGCAAATTGCCCATCAATAAGCATATTTTAATATCTTAAGACCTTTCATAGACCAGATGTCAAAAGTTTTGTCTATAGTAGAGCGGGTGAACATATGATTTCTTGCTATGGGGGCATAGGCTGATAGTTCCCAATTTCTGTTTAACGGAGAGCAGATTATCTTCAGCACATTTCTAATCATAATAATGTTAATAACTCATCTCTAATAACTGATTTATTTTCTCTTTGCCATGATGAAAGCACATAATATGAGACTAGATATTCCTCAAGACACTTCTATACAGCTTAAAGTGACATTTAAAGGCTTCACTAGGTTCATTAGATTAACTCAGGGTGTTTGTGGGGTCTTAAAAAGTATTAAAAATTAATAAACCAATTCAGAGAAATTTAAGGCCGTGAAAATTTTTTAAAAAGTTTTAAATGCTATTTTACATGGTCTTAAACAATATCTAGTTGTATGATAAAGTTTGCCTTTAATATGCCAATTCTGTGGTGCTGTGTAAATCAATAAACTCCTGCTAGATTTAACATCATGTTGCTTTGTTTACTGTAGTAATTAAGGCAACACCTATACTGAAGTCTCTTCAAGGCAAGTCATTTCACTTGTCGGCCATCTTTGAAACGCTTTTTAGGCAGTATGCCTGGGCTTTCTGTTTAAATGGGAAAACATCAAATTCTTCAAAACTGCTTGCCAAGCTTACAATTACACTTCATATTAGGAATCACAAATAAAATTAAACAACAACTGTATCTTTAACGTTCAAGTCACACCAAATCTACAGAAGTCTTCTGGTCCGAGCCATTATACATGTATCAGTCATCATCATCATCAGAGTCATCTGTCTATTAGTGATTTACGATTGTCTCCTGTACTAGCAGGCGAGGCTTCCTTCATCATACTGACATTACACTTCTCCCCATTTCCTTGAGTGATGTGCATTCTGTAGTGTTTATCTATGGGGTAAGGCCATAGGAGAAGCAGTTTTACACCTATGGAGAGTCCCTGTAAACCACGTACACAAGTATGTGTGTGTGTGAGAGAGATTACGTACATCCCAAAGCTAACCAAACATGTGTTTATGGCAGTCTTCCAGTGACATCTCTCAGATCCGAGAGCTTCAGGCTGAGATGGAGGAGCTGAAGAAGCAGAGACAGACTCTACAGAAGGAGGTGAGACATACAGCACATCAATTCCAGCTGCAACCTGAAAGCGTGCAGCGGTAAGTTGTTGGGTTGTGTGGACCTGTCCTGACCCAGCAGTGCTTTATCTCCAGCTGCAGACGAGTGTGTCGCGTGTTCAGTTTCTGGAGTCGTCCACCGTGTCCCGCAGCATCGTGAGCAAGCAGGAGGCCCGTATCTGTGATCTGGAGAACAAGCTGGAGTTCCAGAGAGGACAGGTCAAGAGATTTCAGGTGAGTCCTCACTCACACACAGATTTGTCCCTTTATCTGCATGCTCACACACTGTTCCTGTGGTCTAACGCAGGCCTGGGGGAAACGACTGCAGTGCTTTCTGAATGTACAGGCAGTTTCAGCACATTTCTAATCATAATAGTGTTAATAACTCATCTCTAATCACTGATTTATTTTCTCTTTGCCATGATGACAGCACATAAGATTAGACTAGGGCCCCGTTTACACTAGTGCGTTTTAGTTTTAAAACGGCATTTTAGAATGAAAACGATCCGCGTCCACACTCGCGTTTTACCCAGCGTTTCTGAACTGCTCTCCGTCCACACCAAAACGCTGAAAACGCACATCACGTGACCACACAGACACTTTGGCAAGCGCTGCAGCCCATCTACCCAGATGAGAGCTCTGCTAGTCGGACTTCTCATCAAGCATCTCCCGCTGGATCTAATCTCACTATATTTATTAAACGGGATATTTCATTCATCTTGTTGTCTTTATCTAACGACATATTCCCTGACTTTGGTCATTGGAATCTATTACTTGTTCTCGTAACGTGTTTTGGCTGAGCGCAAAGATAAGTTAATGATTAATGTAACCACGTAGCCTACATTGTGTATATTGACTGATCGCTTGCCTTTATTTCCTATAATGTATAAACTTATTGTATGTTATACTTTTATGGCCATTATCGATTATTAAAACTGATACTCAGCAAAAGAGAGGGTATGTTTCGTATTTTCACTGAAATTGAAAGGAGGCAGTTGTTATCGGCACCGTTTTGTTATAAATATCCACACAGTGAAGATGACGCTCATGCAGCACGACGCCTCAACATTTCTGCTGTCTGTTTAGTTGTTAATATTAAAATAAAAATAGGCAGTTTCTTTATATCAAGTTTACATTTTATTGTTGAGAAAGTGAAACAACATTGCCAGGGTGATGTGAATGAAGTTATAAAGTACACGGTTCCCTGTGAAGATTAACGCGTGTCCTCGGTATGTTTTCCATATCAAACTGAGAAGAAGAGACTGCAGCCTTGATCAAACTTGCGAAGTCTGAACTTACACGGAGAAGATTCAGGACTGAACTGTGTGTAGGCTACTTAATATTGAGGGAAAGCCCCAATCAGAAAGGCGAATGTCTGCAGCCCCGCCTCCGTTTTCAGATGTCTCCGTCTTTCCCCATCCACACTGAGACGGAGCAGCAGCGTTTCAGAATGAAAACGGCCTCTCCAGCGTTTTCGAAACGCTCCGTTTTCGGCGCTCGAGAACTCCGGCGTAGTGTGGACGGTTGGCGTAACCGTAGCAAAACTTATGCGTTTTCAAACTAAAACGCACTAGTGTAAACGGGGCCTAGATATTCCTCAAGACACTACACAGTAAAATCTTCAGAGTAAAGTTTACTCAGTTCAGAGAACATTTGGTCCCTCTCTTTACTTGGACTCTGACTCGATTTCTAATGTTAGTTTCTCTTTGTTTGCCAAATAGTGTATTGTGGCAAATATTGTATAAAGAGAGCAGTTGTGCTCTGGATAATTGACTCTGTGGTGGTTTAGTCACTGGTCAAATCAGTAAAATTGGTTTTGACCTATTAAGTTTAAATAATGTTGTATCACAAAAGGAGCACTGTATTAAGACAATGGAGCTCACCAATACTTTTATCAGATCATAAAACACATTGAACATCTGAAACACTCAAAACCCACAGACATAAACAATCAGCGTATGCTTCCTAACTATGGTGAGTTTCTAAGTGGGAACTATGGATGAATGTCGTATGATTGTCTTAACATGCACTGCATCAAAAAAAATAAAATAAAATCTCTAACCACTGTTGAGATAGGGTTGGCTGACGTGAAACTGACGTTTCGACACAGTGTCGAGATCCCGAAGCGCAAGTGTTTCGAAACACTGTACCGAAGCATGATCCGAAACACCCAGGTCACGTGACTAAAGTGTTTCGAAACACTTGGTCACGTGACAAAAGCGATTCAAAGCATCGATCATTTCAGAGGCGTTTCAAGACCCGGAGAATCTGCATTCCACTGGCATGATCTTTGTTAAGTCTTCGACTTGTATGGTCTAGTGGACCGTGCGTGTGCACTTTGGAACTGTATTTCGAATTTCTTTTGGGTTCGAATCTCGACTATTACAAATACTCCAAAATCATGATTTTATGTATTTTAATCATGTTACTGTTTTATGGTGTAGCCTAGATAGGATACAGTTGCGGATACACCATCAACTTAGCATCATTTTTGTAACACTGTAAAACAATAATTCATATTGTTACAGTACTGTGATGGGTTTAGGTTTTGGATAGACGTTAATAAAATACAATAGGAAATTTAATTAATAATATAAATAATTATTGTTAACTTCTGGCCACAACTGTATCTGAACTAGTAACAACCCTGTTATATGAACAAAATACAAATTTATTTACAAATGTTTATTCGTATGTCAGAGCAATGTTGAAACAAAACGATACAATAACAAAGCATTACCAACTGGTATTAAAGCATTTCAACATACTTGTGTCAGTCTGGATTCGAACCCATTTTTTCCCGCATGGTAGTCACAAACTCTAACCGCTCGACTAAACCATCTGAAGATTCAAGGCTACAAAGTGGGATTTGATACATCAATTTGCTCAACTGTTCTTTGCTGAAGCTGTATCAGTGAAATACAAATAAAATGACCACTAGGTGTCACCGTAGAGTGGTGTTTTAAAACGTTTAGAAGCTTCGACACATTTGCTTCGATAGTTTCAGTGTTTCACGAAGCCTCGCTTTGCCCACCACTAAGTTGAGATAGATACGCTGATTATTGATGTCTGTGTCTCTAAAGTGATTCAGATGCTCAATGTGTTTTAATATAACACCACAGCTGAGATCCATTCTCTTGAAAAACACTGAATTTGGTTTCTTATATGATAAACCATCATCTAAACATAATTTCTTGTACAGTTACTCTTATCAAGAGTAAGAATCCACACAGGATCAATCAACTTGATCACATGTGCTCTCTTTATACTTGTCATTGTAAGTAAAGAAAAATAAACATTAGAAATCGAGTCCAAGTAAATCAACCACTTTTCTCCATGATGGTGACATCAGGCGAAAAAAAAAACAATTTATTTTTATAAAATGTAAAGAACTAAAACGGTTAATTCTCAGTGAACATCTGACAGAAATAAAGTCAATCAGGTAAGCAATGAGCGAAGCTGCTGCTGCTGCTTCTCTTCTGTTTCTGCTTATTAACAGCAGGTGTTCATCATCAGTCCTCAATCATCACTTAATTAACCCTATCATTGTCTCATTAACTTTAACTCTGCTGCTGAGTAAATTTTGCTCAGTTTAGAGAGGGACCAAATGTTCTCTGAACTGAGTAAACTTTACTCTGAAGATTTTACTGTGTAGTGTTCAGCTTAAAGTCACATTTAAAGGCTTCACTAGGGTAATTAGGGTAAAGTTATGGTAATTAGGCAAGTCTTTGTGTAACCAGTTCAACTCTGGTGCTATTTCGGGATTTCC